CTCCTAAGCGAAAGTTTTCTTGGACTTTGGAAGATCCGTCAAGGGAGAGGCATTTATTTGCGAATCTGCGCACACAACCGATAGCCGAATGCAAGGCTAAGCAAGCTGCGGAGTTCTTTAACTTTCGTGGGAACTGGGCGTGAGCTGACGCGCTCGACTTTGTTTGGCTCACAGCCCACTCCTACTTCCGAAACAATGTATCCTAGATCGGCCACTTGCTTCTTGAAGAATTGACATTTGAGGGTTTCAATTTTAATCCCAGCTGCGTCAGATTTTCGTTGTGCTCTTTTTCTGTTCTATCGTGAACGATAGTATCGTCCAAGTAGACTAGGTAGTGCTGTGGTAGAATTCCGGCCAGCACGGTGTGCATCGAGCGTTGGAAGGTGAGTGGCGCGCTAGTTAACCCGAAGGGCATCGTCTAGAATTCTTACGGACCGGATAGTACGGTAAATGCTGACTTGCCTGGTCGTTTGGATGCAGCTCAATCTGCCAGCAGCCCGATTCTAGGTCGATGGTAGTAAACCACCGTGACCCAGAGAGAGCATCAATGGTACCGACCATTCTTGATATCGGAAACGAAACTTTTTGCGTAACCTCGTTTAAATTGTTGTAGTAGACACAGCAGTTTTCCGCTTTTCTTTTTGAACAAGACGATGGGAGGGCCCCATGGTGACTCAGACGGTCGAATAACGTCGCACTTGAGCATGTCTTCTATCATGAGTTTCTATTCTTCCTGGAATTGGGGCGGTACGCGCCGCGGCGGTTGACGAATCGTCGGGGCGCTGCCCCATCTAATGCAGTGCCTTATAAAACTGTACCGTCCTAAATCATCGTCAGCCCAAGAAACATGCTGTTACTGTGTTAAGATGTATTTTATCGCATTAATATTGCAGTTCTGATGGGAGGGTTCGAAGTATTTTTGTATGGGAACCTCGCCCGAGGTGTAGGACAGCACCGAGCAGTCGATGGATGCGAATGGAATCATTTGCTCACCGAGTACTAGGGCTTTCTTAGTCAGATCAATCTTGGCGCCCAGTGGAGAAAGAGAATCAACGCCTAATATGGCATTCCATGGTACGTTGTTTATGACAAGAAAACGGTGACTAACGAAATTACTGCCTAACTGTACACCAGTTGTGGTCCAACCTGTAGATTTGCTAAGTGGAAACCTTAGCCACCACTAAGTTGACTGATCTATTCGATGGACGATGGCATTCAGCGGTAACATGCGCTTGTGAACCGGGTAGCAAGCGGCACTGGTGTCTGCTACCATCTTAGCCTCACTATCTCATGTATGCCCAATTGCCATGGTGGCAGCTATCCCACAGTATTTAGAAATGGCAGGTATTAGAAGCAAACGTCTTGGATTTACCGGTTTGATTATATCCGCAGGTGTGTGCTGCCCTCCCCAACCTTCTGCAGTACGGACAGTACTGCCGAGGCCGACTGAGTAGTTGCACAATACCGTGTTGGTTTAACGGCGGAGATTGTCGTCCATTGAATGCTCTACAGAATCCGGCCTTAGGACGACGATGTTGCTGGATGGGTGCTACTCGGGGCCCGCATTCCCTTTCTTGTTGGCGATCGCGGGCTGGCGCGTCGCGTATCTGTTGGCAGTGCGCATCGCTCCCTCCAACTTGACTGTGTTTTTTCCAAAAGCAGCGGATATTCACGTCTGTCGTGCCCTGGAGAGCTATTTTATAAACACGATCATTGCCAGAATATATAGACACAGCTAACTTCCGTAGTGCAGCAATGAGGATGGGGGATCGCTCCCTATTTTGCTGGACCCGTTGATAGAATAAACGTCCATATTCTCATTCATGGAACCGGGACAACAGGGTCGTCTTTAAGCACGCAAACATATCGTCGTTAACCACATCCGCGATAACGTCCTCCGCGGCTACTATCCGGTAGGTCTCAGTAGGCTTAGTAGCGCCGGCGCCTTTTCATGATCTAGGAATCAACTGATGTACCAGCGCGCCTGGTGCTCCTAACAGTCGTGACCCACCCCAGGGTAATACTTTTCCGGGGAAATAGGGTCCAGGATAGTTAGAACAAGCAGATGTGTGCATAACTTTAACGAAGTCATAGTGCTGATCGCGGTTGTGATGAACTGTTCAGCTGTAGACGGCGCTATAGTCTACCACTCAACGGAATTCCGCGGCTTACGATCGCTGCCGGTGTCCGGTTTGGCTTAATTGCTCATCTTATCCTGGCATGGTCGCCAGACATGTAATATTCGTCTAGTTCGGGGTTACAAATTCTTGTGTATCCGACACGTATCCTAGGTCGCCATAGACCTGATGACCTGCAATGGAAAGCAAAGAGAACCTAGGTGGCCGAGAGTTAAACCCCAATCACCTAGTAAGAACGAATATCGAAGAATAACTTATCGGATGCCTGCTGACAAGACACTAGGAAGTGGCTGAGTAGCTAAGAGCAACGAAGCGCAGGGTGAAGCGTCCGCAGTCAAGGTCGCGACGAAAAAAGCGGGGTTTCTGTGTAGGTTAAAACAATATGGCGCTCCGCGTACACTATTCCCGCTCTGTCGGTGACTATTCTGGTAGCACATGCTCCAGGGCTGGTCATTCCCAGTATCTTCAGATAGTACTCAGCAATTGCGCAGTCTAAGGAATTCGGTGTACGAGTTAAGTGTGCTCGTGAATGGGTCTCATCCTGATACACTTGCATTCGTTGAAACCTGGGTGTCTCAGGACATCACGGTGAAGTACCTCAATCTTGCTACGCATATATAAATGCGATCGCTCCGTTGGCAGACATTGTGGGGCGTCGCTCGGTATGGTAGCTTTAAACTTTACGTTTTGAGGACCTATATGTTTCTGTCAGTGGACGAAATTATCTAGGCTCTATCGGCAGTGATTAACATTTACTCGGCCAAGCTTACAGTTGTGGTATTTCATATAAGCCTTGGAAGTGCATCCAAAGTGGTGCTTGTCTTCATCAGCTCTCAGTTTGTAAACAGGTGTTTGGTACTGGGTGAATTCAACCTACCGGAATTTGGTTGGGCAGATCTTTAGCACAACTCAGCGTCATGTACTTTCGGTGCAGAGCTTGTGTTACGAGCATTGTTACGTCATTACTTAGACCTCTCCACTAAGCACATGGACACCCAAATGCCGTCTATGTTGAACCTTGTGTTTGCTAAGTCACTCGATTTTGTATATGGCCATGTATGTTTGCTCTTCAGCTGTCCTCTATCTTTTCTTCACTAGAGTACCGTTGAATCACATATAAATAAATGACACGCGAACTATCAAGCAATGAGAGGCAAAGCTTCAGATTTGCGTTGTGATCTCGGTAGACGATACTATCCAAGTAGCTTGGATAAAATCTAAGTCCTACTTCACAGACGTCTCTATTCCCTATATCCCGGTCGCAAAGAGAAAAGTGATTGGTGGATACCTACTCAGCAAGCAGTCTAGATGCTGGCGGACCCAAACGGTGCTTATGGCAGGTATCGGGAGGCTAAAATAGTGCAAGCAACACCTAAGGAATACTCAGCTCATGTGGGAGAAGGTTTGAGTAGATGGAGCTTCGGTGAATCCAAAAAGTGCTTGGCTAATGTAAAAAGGCGCTCATTAATTCTAGCGTTGATGCGAGCCGACGATACTCACGCATACGGACTATGACAAAGCACGTGTACTTGATGGACAGTATACAGGAGCGTTTGTATGGGAATCCTCCTTAAACAGCGTTGAACTGGTTTCCAGCATCCCAAAGTGCTCGTGCCTAGCTGAGTTTATCCTAGCGGAGACGGAACTCCGTAGGCTGTTACAAGGGCTGACGCCTTCTAAGACATTGGGGTCTAGTTTAGTTCAGCTGAAGCTGTTACATGAGTTCGCTGGTGAACCAAGTGGATCGATTGCTATCGTGTTTCAAAAATTACCTGACAGCCTACACTACCTTGCGAACGGAAGCAAGCTATCATCTGTCCTGTCTTCGGAAATGGCGATAGACCAGTTGGTCCTTGAAGCTTTACTATGTCCCCCGTTTCCTCCCAACTCTCCGCTTGTTTCGCATATTTCAGCAACCCTTTGTCTCTCGTGGGACTCCGGCTATTTTCCACATGGATAACAGGGTACACTGATCATACGCTTACAATACATCAGCATGTGAACACTGTTGTCATGGCTCCTCTTGATTTCAGGGTTACTTTTATATTCTATCGCCCTGCATGTAGCAACGCCCATTTTTATGGATTTGCCAGAGAAACTTCTGTCCTAACGGCTTTTGAGGTCTGTTACGACTCCACGGGGAGCTTTTCCTCGAGTTTACCAAAGGTTCGTGTGCGTCACCTTGTCTCCCTTTTGCCATTTTTGTTTGCACTCGCAAGGATATTGAATGACTGCGCTTCTGCTGGAGTAATAACTGCAAGGTATCCAAATGACAATCTTGGAGTCTGTGAACGAGACAGCTTTTGGACGCGGAACCGTCGTTGTGCACGCTCCCCTCGATAGAATGACACTGGGCTCTGCGGGTTTCGACGTACACTTCGTATTTTAAATGCGCAAGACGCTGTTGTATGGTAAGCTAACACGTTAAGGGTTCTCACCATTGCCATCAAACGACCACTGCAACTTGTCTATCGGCCATCTCATAATGTCAACCGTACTGTCTCTGGCGATCACATCACCGTGGATGTTACCGCATGTTTCGCGAATGTTTCTGTGACTTTTATCGCGACCATGGATTAGGCAATGGTGTACGCACCATTGCCATTTTTCTCATTTGTGAGACGTAGGTTCTGTCAGCCGTACCTGTTGAACTTCAGTGCGATGCTCACAGTTTACGTGGTGGGTTACATTTGAGTTGATTGACATTTAGTGAATTATATCATGACGGTTGATTTATCTCTTGTTTCATCTTGGGTATGCCTTTTACCATTTCGGATATTTTGTATTTCTCAACCAGTGTTAAGCATTGCATGAACACGATAACTGGCTTGATGTGATCGCTTGTTCTCTTATATCTTCCAGGTCATTTGAGCCATGGTTCTTGCAGAGCTTGGTCGCAAGATAACCTCTGCTCTCAGGTCACTTGGAAATGCTACTATCATTAACGAGGATGTACTGAACAGTCTGCTCAAGGAGATATGTACTGCCCTTATTGAATCGGATGTTAATATCCGTCTTGTCAAGCAGCTCCGCGAAAATGTACGGGCTGTGATCGATTTCGACGAAATGGCTGCGGGATTGAACAAACGAAAAATAATCCAGTCTGCAGTTTTTAAGGAGCTGGTTCGGTTAATTGATCCACAAATCAAGGCGTGGCAACCTACCAAGGGAAGCTCTAACGTAATCATGCTCGTCGGCTTGCAGGGAAGTGGGAAGACAACTACAGCCACGAAACTTGCAAATTTTTATCAGCGGAAGGGATGGAAAACATGCATGATATGTGCCGATACCTACAGAGCAGGCGCCTTTGATCAATTGAAGCAAAATGCCACGAAAGCGCGCATTCCATTCTACGGTTCGTATACGGAGACTGACCCAGTGGTGATAGCTCGTGATGGTGTGCGCAAGTTTGAGGACGAATCATTTGAGGTTATCATCGTGGATACCAGCGGCCGACACAAGCAAGAAGATTCTCTGTTTGAAGAGATGCTGCAGGTTTGTCGTGATATATTTGGAGCCCTTCACTCACCGTTATAAACATCCTGCCGTCCATTTCTGCTCGGTGCCAGCTGATTGTTTCAGAGTGTGATGGATTGCACGCTTTTCATTTTTTGTGTTATTGTTCGAGCAAACCATTTCACGGACCCAAGTCGCATTGGTTGCAGAATACGCTGGTATAGCGGCAGGCGTGCTAATTCCCATTATCACTAAACCTTTAATTTTAAACCTTGGAACTTCCCAGTTGGTTCTGGTTAAACTGACTTTCATGTTTGGCGTAAGTGATGCTCGAATTTGCGGGTACATGCTGCAATCATAACTGAGGCGGATAATACTGCGAAATATTCTTCGAAGCGGAATTGTAGGACACCTTTTAAATTCACAACACTTTAGTCTCTGAGTAACCCAACGGTTCCTTTTATTGTTGCATCGCTCTCATGCAACCATAATTGTCCCTACCCATGTGTCTCAACGCAAATACGAATATTTGTGGTTTTCGAGATATAATATCAAAATTTCTTCCCTTTGTCATCTAATAATCTTCATTATCCAGGTCTCCAATGTCATCGAGCCGGATCAAGTGATCTACGTCATGGACGCATCCATTGGACAGGCTTGTGAGGCTCAAGCTAGTGCATTCAAATCCAAAGTGGATGTCTCATCCGTCATAGTGACAAAACTCGATGGTCACGCTAAGGGTAAGAGCTTTTTCGAGGCCTTACAGGGAGCACGAAATTTACTCGTCTGTTAGTACATATTTTCACGTTTTGTAACACCGTTATACCGTTTTTTCTAAACAGTATGCTTGCTTGTGATATGTTTCCATTTTTAGTTGATAAAACCCCTATGAAGTAGGTACACATTTCAGAAGACGAATGCTGGTACGTACAACCTATGTGATGGAGTAAAATGTTAGCATTACTCATCATCGTTAGTTAATAGCAACGTCAATATTTTTCGTATCGTGGTTGAAAGTGAATCGCTATATCCTGAGGCTAACAGTTACTCACAGTGGTTTCCCATTTCTTTTTGTTATTCACCACTTCACACATGTTTGCCTGTGTTGTTGTTGCTTCTGATTGTGGTTGTTGTTCCTCTTCAGGTGGTGGTGCTCTCAGTGCAGTGGCCGCGACACGCAGTCCGATCATTTTCATCGGCACAGGCGAACACATTGACGATTTCGAACCATTTCGCGTGCAACCATTCGTGCAAAAGCTTCTCGGTTTAGGCGATCTCGAGGGTCTGGTCGAACGTGTGAGTGGATAGTTTTGCGTGTCTGCATACCCATCATTTTGCATCTGCTCGTTGTTTTTCCATTATCACTCACTCGTCACCCATTCCATTTGCGAGCGCTGTACTGCTTCAAGTGCTTGTGCCTGCTCTCACCATTGCTTCACTTATTTGGGGAGTTGTATCACGGTTCGCGGCGGTGTTGGCGATGAGTTTTCACAACAGACCGCAAAGGTCCGCCCTGCATTCATCAAGCTGAGACACCTATGGTGCCCTCGCGACGTGTCCAAGGATAAGAGGTACGATGCCTCCGTCCGTGCGATCTTGTACGGCTGTGAGATCTGATCTGTTCTCTCCGGACATCAAACGATTGTCCTTTCTTAACAACTGTTGTCTGTGAAGAATTGGTGGTGTGTAGCGGCAACATCACGCGACCAACACGAATTCCGAAACCGGGTGCTTGCAGCGAAACGTCTCTGCATTCAACACCTTATTCTCCTAAACCGCATGCATTGACTCGCTCACGTATATTTCGCACGTCAGTCCTTCGCCTTCCCTGTCCACGTTATTTGCGCTCCCCGAAAGCGGTTGGAAAATGTGCCGTGGTACTAAACCGAAGACTTGTAGAAGGAGCAAGAACAATATATATATATATATATATATATATATATATATATATATATCACGGTTGAACTGTTCGCTGATCTTGGCAATTTTGTTACAAGCGTTTCGTCACCAATCGAGGTGACATCGTCAGCGCATAGTTGAGTGGCGTGCAGTAGCGTAGAGGAGCCTCGGTAAGAGTGCGCTGAGCGTCGTGTGCGTGCGTTTTTATACAGCCGTGGCTGGCCTTGGAGCCGAGCAATCCTATTGGTTGGGACTTCGATCCGCATTCAGATTGGTTGATGGGCAGATGACCTTTGACCTTGCCTCCTCGTGTTTCGTGGCCTTTGCCTGCTTGCTCTTGCGATCGAGTCTGCAGTCCGTTCTGGTTGTCTAGTCACACACTCCACCGGATTCAGTCGATCGAGTTGGCGGTCGTTCGCCGGTAGTGTTGCGTATACTGCGTCAAGTTCGACGTGTCGATTGATTGAACGCGTTGTAGAGTACCAGGCTTCCAAAAACCCTCGCGTGTTTTGTACTTCCATGTGCTAGGACCTTTACATTCTCCAGATCGCAATGGTGGCCTTCTTGATCTTTATGCGCAGAAAGCAATGAGTGTGGATCAGGCCTTCTGACGGCCGCCTTGTGTTCGGTGATTCGTGTACCAAGCTTTCTTCCAGTTTGTCCAACGTAGTTTTATTCGCAGTCGCTGTAATTTATCTAGTAGATGACATTTTATTGGTCGGCTTGATTGACTTTTCCTTTGGGTCTTGAAATTAATTTCCTTAGGGTGGCACTTGACTTGTGAGCCACAGAGATTCCATATGACTGCAACAGTCTTCCTGTTAGTTCGGAGACGTTCTTGATGTAGGGGAGCACTATCCGTTTGTTTGCTTGCTCAAGTGGTTGCTTTTGCTGGGACATTCGTTTCTTTAAGCTTATTCTGATGAAATTTCTCGGATAACCCTTGTTTCTGAACACTCGATATAGGTGCTTTTCTTCATGTTTCCGCGATTCGGCTATGTTGTAGTGCTTTTCCGCTCTTTTGAACAGGGTTTGAATGCAGCTATTCTTGTGATTCATCGGTTGGTTGCTGTGGTAGTTTAATATCTGGTCCGTATGCGTTTTCTTCCGATATACGCACGTTCCCATAGATCCATCTATATTCCTAATGACCAGTACATCCAAAAATGGTAGCTTGTTATCCTCCTTTAATTCAATCGTAAATTTGATATTCTCGAATGTGCTGTTGAGTAAATCTTGCGTGGCCTGTACTCTGCTCCGTTTTACGATGACAAACGTGTCGTTCACGTATCATATCCAGAGTTTTGGTCTGCTAGATGATAGTGCAATGCGCTCCAATTTCTGCATTACGACTTCTGCAACGAGCCGCGAAATTGGTGATCCCATGGGTGTTCCATTCAGTTGCTGGTACACTTGACCATCAAAGCGGAGATAAGTGATCATGCAGAGGTTCAGGAGTTCCCAAAAGCTTTCAGGTCGTATGGTTGTCGTTGGGCTTAGTTGATTCTCAAGTAGTTCCATCATGATTTCTTTGGCCCATTCGTGACCGATTGAAGTGAAGAGTGCGGTGACATCGAATGAAAGCATTATTTCATCGTCCTCTATTCTGACACTCCGCAGTTTGTTGAGGAATCGTTCAGCATTGTTGATGCTATGTTCGGATTCGGCAACCAAATGTTTCAACCTCCTCCACAAATCCTTCGCTAGCTTATATGGTGGGGTTCCGGGGAGCGAGACGATTGGTCGTAGTGGGACTTTATCCTTGTGTACTCTTGGTAGTCCATAGAACAGTGCAATGTTTGTATCATCAGCTTTCATTCTCCATCTCTCCATGGCGGTGAGTTGGTTTTTTGTTTGTAGGTTCTTCAGCGTTGCATTGCTCTGGTTGACCAGTTTTGAACTTGGATCTTGATCGACCTGGCGATATGTAGTTGTCGGATAGAAGTTCTTTGGCCTTGTTAATATACTCCGGTTTGTCCATTATCACTGTCATGCGCCCTTTGTCCGCTGGTAGGATTACAATGTTCTCGTCTTTCTGTAGACGTCTGAGTGCATCCTGTTCCTCCTTGCCTAGGGTCTGAGTGACTTTATTCCGAGTAAGCACTGGGACAACGGTCTGCTGTATCTGTTGCTGGGACTCCTCCGACAGTCCATTTGATCTCGATGCGTGTTCTACGCTAGCCAAGTAGTCTTCGAGACAAGCATCATTTTTTGACTAGTTTTCCATTCGGTTTTTGAAATATTTTTCCAGATTTTTTAGGGGCAGGTATGATGGTCACCGCAACCCACCGATGCCCATGTGCTCCACTGACATCGATCTTGAGCCATGGCTTCCAAGGTCTTCAACCAGCAATTATCCGCATCTCTCGGACCCTAACCAAGTAGTCGACAACAACCGGCCGAGGCCAACTGTTTCCTCCCCTTTTTCATGCGGCTTCTTCAAGTTGCAGGCTGTCCACGAGACCATCTCTTCCAGCCCTGTCCAGCAACCGCAAACAACGCACGGTGCGGGTAACTTTGGACAGGCATGGGAAATACGTGTCCCAGCCACCGCAGTTGATGCAGTGAGACGAGCTCCTCGAGCGAGTGACTTCCACGTCCCAAGACACGCTGTCTAACTTCCACATTGCATACGTGCTGCCGCCACCACACACGGGCAATGGACCTCAGACAGCGGTGCTCGAAGACGGATAGGCTGCGCAAGTCATCTTTACGAATGGGTCAGGTCTCACATCAGTACAACAGTACAGCACGAAGTTGCACAGTAGACCCACAATTTTTTGGAGAGACGAATGTCGTGGCGACACCACAAGTGCCTCAGCCTAGAAAAAGCGAGGCGCGCTCTTGAGATGCGCATCGAAACCTCGCCTCCAATAGCCCCGCCAGCAGTGACGCAACTTCCCAAGTAGACAAAGCTCTCCACAACGTCCAGTGTCACCACCAAGAATGAGTGCAGGCACAGACACCTGCCAGTTTTGAAAGAGAGCCTTGCATTTGGATGGCGAAAAGTACATACCTTACTTTGATGCTTCAATCGCCAAGCGGTTTAGTGCAAGTTGGACGAAGTGTGGATCGTCACCCAGCAAGACGATATCATAATAGCATAGCATAGCATAATCCAAATCAACAACTCGACTACCTGGGAGGAGCTCAACGCCAGCGTTCAACAAATCGCCCAGAGCGTTCTTTAGGACATCCTCAATGGCAAAGTTGCATAGAAACAGAAACAGCCTACTTACAGAGCGCTACGCTGATGATGATTACATATTTAGCTTTCTCATCTTAGATCTTGACCCCGCGTGGCGACGCTAGTGGCTTACTAAACCAGTTTGGCTGAGGCACTGGCGACCGCATGTGCTACATCACAATGCGCTCGATGTCGATAACCTATCCACCATTGGCGCCTGTCGCTTTCGTACCCAGCGTCTCTGCTACGCGTAGTATAGTGCTTTCTGTTACACCTGGCAACCGCCCCCTTCATATGCTCATGCCATTCGCGCCGATCAACTGTCATCGCTTCCCAACACCTAAAATTAACATCAGTTCGTGATAAACGCACCTTGATCGTGTCCTGGTAACGTAACTTCAGTTTTCCCACGTGTCGTTTCCCTGCACTCAGTTGGTCATAAAGCAGATGTTTCGGTATTCACATCGACTCCACGCGGCGAATATGCCCCATCCACCTCAGGTGCCTCCGCAGAAGTAAGCAGTCCACTGCGTACATGCAACTGCGGCTCAGCATTTCCGTGTCTGCTACTCTGTCACATCCACCGATGCGTAGAATCCGTCACAGACACTGTTGTTGAAACTGCTCCAGATATCTTACATCCTTCCGATACATTGTCCATGTTTCGCTGCCGTACAGAAAAACGGACAGCACCATATACTATCAGTTACGTACTGACAGTGAGCTGGTAGTTGTTCCACACACGCTTTTCCAGCCTGCTAAATGCGACAGCCGCCTTCGATAAGCGCATACGCAGTTCGCTCGTCATCTGAAGGTCGGTAGAAATTACTGTCTAGATAGCAATATCTCGAACTGGATTCCAAAACTTCGTTGCCAATGTGGATTTGCGGCACGCCCACAGATTCCACTTCTGGCGGAAAAAGAGAAACGGTCTTGCTTGTGTTGATGGTAAACCCGAATTTCGCCGCTGTCGAAGCGAGAGCCGAAGTCATGTGCTGCAACTCATCCGGGCTGTGTGCAAACAACGCAGTCGTCGACAGACAGCGACATACGGATGGTCGTTTCACACTCCATAGTTCACGCTTCGCAACGACAATTGTTCAATAACCCATCATAAACACGGTGCTCCACAGGGACGCTGTAATCAAAATTATAATATTACAACAGACAGAACAACATTTAGGTAAATATTAACCAGAACAATGGCTAA